TTGCCCTGACATGGCAAATAAATAAATAACTGGCTACAATTTACATTTCTACATCTTGCTGGCTTTGTGTATCTGGGCTACTAATTTGTTGTATGATTTCTGGACTGAGAAGGACAACCAAAGTGATCAAAGATTTGGAAACCAAGCCCTGTAAGGAATGACTGGGTATATTTAGCTTGGAGAAAAGTAAGTCGAGAAGGGACTTGAGAGCCATGTTTAAATATTTGTAATGACGTCACACTGAGGAGGAGGACAACTTCTTTTCTGTTGGAGACTAGGACATGGAGCAATGGGTTCAAATTGCAAGGAAAAAAGATTCCACCCAATCATTAGGAAAAACTTTCTTTGGCAATGGAATAAGCTGCCTGGGAGTCCAATGGAGACTCCTTCTCTAGAGTTTTTAAAGCAGAAACTGGAATTATCAAAGACAAGTCATGCCAGACTAATCTGATCTCTTTTTTTGATAGAGTTACAACCTGGGTAGATGTGGGGAATGCCATGGATGTAGCGTACCTGGATTTCAGGAAGGCCTTCGACAAGTAAATATGTGAGAGGAAGTTACAGGGATGAGGGAGCAAGCTTGTTTTCTGCTTCCCTGGAGATTAGGACACGGAACAACGGCTTCAAACTACAAGAAAGGAGATTCCATCTGAACATGAGGAAGAACTTCCTGACTGTGAGAGCTGTTCAGCAGTGGAACTCTCTGCCCGGAGTGTGGTGGAGGCTCCTTCTTTGGAGGCTTTTAAACAGAGGCTGGATGGCCATCTGTCAGGGGTGCTTTGAATGCAATTCCTGCTTCTTGGCAGGGGGTTGGACTGGATGGCCCATGAGGTCTCTTCCAACTCTATGATTCTATGACCATCTGTCAAGGGTGTTTTCATTGGGTTTTCTTGCATGGCAGGGGGCCGGACTGAACAGTACTTGTGGTCTCTTCCAACTCCATGCTTCTAATTTATGACTTTCTGATGACAACTCCCTTGCTCCTCCTTCTTGGGCTCCTCCCTCATAATTACACTTTTTCTATTCCTATATCACCCAGGGTTTTAACATTTTATCTCATGCATCCGGCCCGCCCTTTGTGTTTGATTTTTATTATGTTATTCTGCACTGTTTATTTTATTTTGTTATTTTATGTATTTTGTTGAGGTGTCCAAAAGTGGCAGGGTAAAACCTGGAATCTCAATCAGTGGCTGATACCAGATGAGAAACTCCCTCCTGGGCACACAGAAAACTGGGCAACTTGGAAGGCACTGATTAGAATGCACTCTGGCACCACGAGATGCAGAGCCAACCTCAAGAAATGGAGCTACAATGGTGGAGTCCACGACATGCGAATGTGGAGAAGAGCAAACCACAGACTGCCTACCCTACCGACTCTGGAATTCCCTTCCACTGGGGATCAGAACTGCCCCTTCGATCTTAACGTTCAGGAAACAGGTGAAAACCTGGCTTTGGGGATTGGCATTCAACGAATGAGCCATGATCCTGTGATATGGATGGATGACGACGAATAATGACTTTGATGACGACTGACCACTGTAATCATATGATTGTATTTTTGCCATTTTAATTGTTTCAATGTTTTAATGTTTTAGTGTGATTTAGAAATATGATGTTTTAATGACGGTCTGTAATATTGATGTTGGAAACCGGCCCGAGTCCCTCGAATGGAGGTGAGAAGACCGGTATACAAAACTACCAAATAAATAAATACAATGCAGTTTGAGCCCTGCCACATGCACAATGGAGGTGCTTCTTACAGCAACACCAGAGGCACTCCAAGTGGCCAGCTTCTGGTCAAAGGACATTTAAGATAATGCTAAGTTTTTAAACTTTGTCTGTGGTTTTTTATACATTGTAACTATAGTCTCAATTTGCTTCTGACACAAAAAATAAATAAATAAATCTTGGCCGCATATCTATCGCGTGTTGCAAAGGGATCTCTTCTTAGACGGATAGTGCAAACATAGCCCTGTGTGCTTCAAAGAATCAGGAATCAAAGCACTTTCCACTGGAGCTCTACTTTCTCAAAGCCCCAGTCCAAAAAAAAAAGAGAGAGAGAGAGAGAATGGGTTGGCAATCTCACTAAGCAAAGCACAATTCCTACTAAGTTTCTATGACTTAAAAGCATATTTCCAGCTGCTTTTAGGAGACAAATATTCCTGCATTTAAATTACCACGGCTGCAAGCATTTAAATGACTGTGGCTTCATGGACCTATGCTAAAATAATAGCAAGATAAGGCTCAGAAAGAAATAACATACAGCAGTACCATACAGACACTGGCAAACACCAGGACACACTGATCATGCTTTTGACATAAACAATTACTTTATATACTTGTGCATTTGTCAGACTCATGTATAAGTGCAAGTTTTGGAACCAAAATGATGAATTTTGATTGGGCCCATGGATAAATCATTTCCTGGACAAGAATTCAAACAGGCCTTTGGTCACTCCACTCAGACAAAGGGATTTTTTTTTCTTGACAAAAATTAAGATAGGAAGCTCTTCCTTCTCTCTGAGTAGAGTGATGAAAGGTGAAAGCTTCATCTTCCCAGGAGAGCCTTAAAGAAGCATCAATCCCCTCTTCTTCCTTGGTGCTCCTTTGAGAGGAAGCACCAAAGAGTTGCCACTACACTGACCCTTGGGTAAGTTTTTTAGGTCAGTTTTTCAACAAAAAATTCTAGACTTATACACAAGTATATACAGTAATTTCTACTGACATCACACCATCAGACTATGCCACACTGTCCAATGGATCACTCACCAATTTTCTGCAGTACTTTGGTGGACCTTTGAAAAGAAGAAAGCCACTGAAGATGCTTCTGCATTTCTATATTTGCCATTCTTGCCTCCCTTTTACAAAGTGTAAGGAGTGCTGAAATTTGACTATATATTGAGAGTAAGTAGAGAGCCAGTATGGTCTAGTGCAGTGGTTCTCAACCTGTAGATACCCAGGTGTTTTGGCCTAAAACTCCCAGAAATCCCAGCCAGTTTACCAGCAGTTTGGATTTCTGGGAATTGAGGGCCAAAACATCTGGGGACCCACAGGTTGAGAATGCAGGACTATGGCTCTGCCAGCCAAGGTTCAAATTCTTACTCAGACATGGAAATCCACTGGGAAAGTCATATTCTTCCAGTCTCAAATTTATTTACTTTGTTTTATATCCTGCCCTCTCCCCCTTGCTGAGGGACTCAGAGCGTCTAAAGCAGTGGTTCCCTGCCTTTTTTAAAACCAGGGACCACTTTGACCAGGGACCACTCTCCAACATTAATACCAAAAGGGTTATGAATCAGTTTTTGGTCAACTTCAGATTCGGTTTGGTTATTTGGGGTGCTGATTCCGAATATTGCATTGGATAGACCATATTTGCTCTAGTTTCCGATATAGAACATATGCCATCCAATAGTCGCCATCTGCTTGCCCACAGAAAAACATATTTAATAAGCCTTGGCATTATAAAAGGGTTTTGCAAGACCAGCCGCTCTCGTTGCAATGGTAACGGTGAGGCTGTGGACCATATTTTAGTTCTTGCAGACTACTGGTGGTCCATAGACTACAGGTTGGGAACAACTGGGCGAAAGAAAGAAAGAAAGAAAGAAAGAAAGAAAGAAAGAAAGAAAGAAAGAAAGAAAGAAAGAAAGGCAAGCCTCTTCTGAACAAGTTAACAAATCAACATGTTAACAAATGTTAACATGCATGTATTACACTCAGAGTAGAGTATGCTCATTATAGTTCCATCTTGTCTCCTCCATCTGTCATTAGCTGGGGACCTCTCCCCCAGCACCAACTGCTGCTCTGGGCCAGAGTGAAGAGAGAGGGGGGCAGAAGACAGTTCCACCTTGTCTTCTGTGCTATCCTAATAATATAATATAATATATTGTATGTTGTTCATTCGTTCAGTCGTTTCCGACTCTTCGTGACTTAATGGACCAGTCCACGCTAGAGCTCCCTGTCGGTTGTCACCACCCTCAGCTCCTTCAAGGTCAATCCAGTCACTTCAAGGATGCCATCCATCCATCTTGCCCTTGGTTGGCCCCTCTTCCTTTTTCCTTTCATTTTCCCCAGCATCATTCTCTTCTCTAAGCTTTCCTTTCTTCTCATGATGTGGCCAAAGTACTTCATCTCTACTATTCTTCCCTCCAATGAGCAGTCGGGTTTTATTTCTTGAAGTATGGACTGGTTGGATCTTCTTGCTGTCCAAGGCACTCTCAAAACTTTCCTCCAACACGACAGTTCAAAAGCATCTATCTTCCTTCGCTCAGCCTTCCCTATCGTCCAGCTCACATCCGTAGGTTACTACGGGGAATACCATTGCTTTGACTATGCGAATCTGTAAATATTATAAATATTATATGTATTGTATATACATATAATATTTATAATATTCTAATGCAATGCAATATAATACTAATAATAATAATATGATATTGTAATTATATATTTATATTGCATGTAATATTACTAATAATATTACAATATAATGGTATAGTACAATGTAGTAATATTTAATACTGATATTGCACTATGCTAATAATATAATATATTGTGTGTGTGTGTGTGTGTATGTGTGTGTGTGTATGTATGTGTGTGTGTGTGTGTGTGTGTGTGTGTGTATATATATAAATATATATAGTAAGCCGCTCTGAGTCCCCTTTGGGGTGAGAAGGGCGGCATATCAATGTGGGAAATAAATAAATAATAGGGCTCATCACTTCAAAAGTATGATTATTCAAATCCAGGTTTAAGAAGAAAATGGATACTCAATTACAAACATGCTTGTACCGTATATTAGAAGAAAAACTCATCATTTTTTTCTACTAAGAGAGATTTGGATGCCTATTCTGTCTGATTTTTATAAATCACCGCAAGTCAGTTTGGGAGATATAAATGAATATTACAAGGGGAGGAGAAAGAAGAGGATGGTGAGAGAACGGTTCTGCCGGTAAGTGTCAGTAAAAAAGGGGATTACTATCTTGAAATAAAGATGTACATACCATAAAAAGTGAGGTATCCAAATAGTGCTGACACCAAATAAACCAGAAAGCTCAGGCCAATTCCTGTGTTGGCTACCTTCTGCATCCTGCTTTTGGACGGACTGCAAAGACAAAAGAAAAATGCGGCATAAGTCAAGATGTCAATAGAAAAGAAGTCTCTGTTGATGACTGTTTCAGATGTTGACCAATGGATCTCAGTGGTTTCTCCCCCTCATAAACAAGTAAATCCCAAGGAACCACACGTTTCTGCAACTTTTATAAAAAAGGAATTTCTACATACAATGGATATTTCCTGGAAAGAACTCATTGATGATGGGAGTTGCCTTAGGTAGCTTTGAGAATGCATTTACACTGTAAAATTGATGCATTTCACACCACTTGAAGTGCCATGGCTCAGCTGCTGCTGCAGTTTGTTTGTTTGTTTGTTTGTTTTTTGTATATTTTGTGTCAAAAGTCTTGCATAATAAATAAGTTGAAAACTGATAAAATAAAGGGATCACAAGCAGCTAAATAGTTTTAGACCAAAACGGGCAACAGTGACCACATTGTCTGTAGCTTGAAATAATTCTTCCTCTGTGCATGAGGCAGGACATTGTGGGCAAGCATACAGATGCGGAGTTGTTTGTGCTGCTCCACAGTTGCACAAAGTGGAGAATTCTTCTAGATAGTGCCATTTTGCCAGGTTGTCTTTTTTAAAAATATTTTAATTATTTTATTATATTTCAATACATTTGTTATACATTGTTTATTTTACGGCAGATACATATTATTTAATACAACCTACCATACTTTAACTTTTGGCATCAACTATTATTTTTCTGCTTACACATATTATCTATCCCTCACCCCTGTGCTCCCCTCCCCCCTCCCAAGCCAAGCCACAGCTTTTACATATCATCTGTCCAAAATTTCAATTCTTCTTGTGGAGGTAACTTTCCTTCTTTCTTTTTAAATCCTTTTCCAATAAATTTCCTCCATACATCATCAAAATCACTTTTTTTCCATATACCTTTTTTAACTTTTAATATACATGCCTGCTTATCATTTATTGCCAATTTCCATACTTCCTTATACCACTCCTCTATTTGTATATTTATTTCATTTTTCCAATTCCTTGCTATAAGCAATCTTGCTATTGTTAATAAGTTTCTTATCACATCTTTATCCTCTTTTTTCAATTGTTTATTATTCTATAATGATAATAAAGCTATACTAGGACTTCTTTCTATTTTAATGTTTATTATATCCTCTATTTCTCTAACTATTTTACCCCCAAAATTATTTACATATTTACATTGCCACCACATAGTATATATGTTCCTGATTCTTGGCATCCTCTCCAGCAATTTTTTGAATAGTTTTTATTTATATTTATTATTTTTACTGGTGTTAGGTACCATTTCCATATTAACTTATAATAATTTTCTTTAACCTGTATTGATAAATGTTTTTAGATGTCTTTGTCTCCATAACTGTTGCCAATCTGTTTCATTTATTTTTATCCCTAAATCTTCTTCCCAGACCTCCTTGAGGATGTTGTTTTTGTTTTTCCTTCCTTTTGTTTTTTGATCTTTTGATCTGCCCACTTCACTTCTTAGTCTGTTCAAGTTGCCAATTCTTGGTTTGTCCCTGGAGGAAGACCCTCGTGGGGGGCCATCCAGTTGAAATAGCCTGATTTTGCTGCCCACAGGGATATTCTTGTTGTGGCTAGAGGAACATTAAGAGGAGTGGTGGTTCTTATGAAGCTTTCTCTTGATTTGGGTCTACTGGGAGGAGGCTGATAGCCATGCAGTGGGTGGTTTTCACAGTGTTCAACCTTATTTCTCTGATAGTTAGCAGCAACTTCCCATCGTACATCAGAGGGGGCAATGCCAGCTAGCTTATAGAGTCTATCAACAGGTGTAGGTTTAAGACATCCTGTGATTATTCTATATGTTTTAATCAGTGTTATATTCACCTGCTTATTTATGCCAGACGGGGCAGGCATATTCAGCAGTTGAGTAAGACAAGAGGAGACACAGAAAGAGCCTCCCCGAAGACTGAATAAATACAGTCAGGTGTCCCCTGGGCAATGTTTCTTGTAAACAGCTTATCTTTCCAACTCAAAAGCATTTTTGCAGTTTGGTGAGACACTAGCACTATTGAGCAGAGAAAGCTTTGTAAAAATACAACTCCCATTGAGCCATGATGTTAAAGTGGTGTAAACCTACATCAATTCTACAGTGTAGATAATAGAATCATAGAGTTGGAAGAGACCTCGTGGGCCATCCAGTCCAACCCCCTGCCAAGAAGCAGGAAAATTGCATTCAAAGCACCCCTGACAGATGGCCATCCAGCCTCTGTTTAAAAGCTTCCAAAGAAGGAGCCCCTACCACACCCCGAGGCAGAGAGTTCCACTGCTGAACAGCTCTCACTGTCAGGAAGTTTTTCCTAATGTTCAGATGGAATCTCCTTTCTTGTAGTTTGAAGCCATTGTTCTGCGTCCTAGTCTCCAGGGAAGCAGAAAACAAGCTTGCTCCCTCCTCCCTATGACTTTCTCTCACATATTTATACATGGCTATCATGTCTCCTCTCAGCCTTCTCTTCTTCAGGCTAAACATGCCCAGCTCTTTAAGCCTCTCCTCATAGGGCTTGTTCTCCAGACCCTTGATCTGTATCCTAAAATGTGTTTAGAAATATTCATGGGAAGTGAAGGCTGGCAGTGGCTACCAATAACGATTGAACCTCCAAAAGTAGAGGCAGTCTGTCTTTTGAATCCCAGTTTCTGGGAGACATAGTGTGGGAAGAGAGGAGCTGTCCATTCACAACACACAATTATAGAACCACGGCTCCACTTTAACAGTTGTGTCTGCATTCTATAGAATCCTGGCACCTTTTAAGAATACATAATTATAATTAATTGTAATGGTAGCATTTTAGCTGCAAAGCTTACATTCAATGGAATGCTGGGATTTGTAGACTGATAAGGCAGCAGAGCACTGTCAGCAAATTCTAAACTGCTAATACCACAGGGTTTCATAGGATGTAGCCATTAGAGTTAAAGTGGAATCATAGTACAATAATTTTATAGTGTGAACAAGCTTTACTTGTATTCTGTCTCTACAAAGTCTGTTTGGTCACTGTTGGAAACAGAAAGCTGAAGCAAATGATTATTCAGGTCCAATCAAGTAGGATTCTTGTGTCCAACTTGATTGGACTTCCTTTTCTCCCCAGAATGGATTATAGCAGCGTTTCTCAACTTGGGGATTGGGACCCCTGGGGGGGGGGATCACGAGGGGGTGTCAGAGGGGTCATTAAAAATGATCAGAAAACACAGTATTTCTATTGGTCAAGGGTGTTCTGTGTGGGAAGTTTGGCCCAATTCTATCATCGGTGGGGTTCAAAATGCTCTTTGATTGTAGGTGAACTATAAATCCCAGCAACTACAACTCTAAATGTAAAGATCTATTTTTCCCAAACTCCACCAGTGTTCACATTTGGGCATATTGAGTATTTGTGCCAAGTTTGGTCCGGATCCATCATTGTTTGGGTCTACAGTGCTCTCTGGTTGTAGGTGAACTACAACTCCAAAACTCAAAGTCAATGCAGTTTGCGTTTTCGGTCTTATTTTATTGTACTTTGTTGTTTGGGCTTGGCCTCATGTAAGCCGCTCCAAGTCCCCATTGGGGAGATGGTGGCGGGGTATAAATAAAGATTATTATTATTATTATTATTATTATTATTATTATTATTATGCGCACCACACCCTTCCAGTATTTACTTTTGGTTATCGAAGTTCTATGTGCCAAGACTGGTTCAATTCCATTGTTGTTGGAGTTCAGAATGCTCTTTGTATAAATCCCAACATCTACAACTCCCAAATGACAAAATCAATCCCCCCCACCACCAGTATTCAAATTTGGGCATATCGGGTATTTGTGCCAAATTTGGTTCAGTGAATGAAAAAACATCCTGCATATCAGATATTTACCTTACGATTCATAACAGGAGAAAAATTACAGTTATGAAGTAGCAATGAAAATAATTTTTTGGTTGGGGGTCACCACAACATGAGGAACTGTATTATGGGGTTGCGGCATTAGGAAGGTTGAGAACCACTGGATTATAGTAACAATAAAAGGTTCTTCTTGGTGATCTCCCACACCGTTCTTGACACATGGGTCTTTTGGAGAGGAGGAAAAGAGCTAACTGAGCTGGAAGGAGAGGCCTGGTAAACTACATTCAGCCCATGAATTCAGAAGTCGCACATCACTGTTCAAAATACTAAAGGAACCACTTATATCTACATCAGTAAATGAAAGACAAAACAGATTTTTGGAACACTGCAGTACTCTCACACTGCTGGATTTCAAGTCCAACGATTATACAAACGACTTGTTACCTTTGGAGCTCACAATAAATTGGCAATACGGATGTATGGCAGAGAAATGAGAAGGCCATAACCGGAATAGCATAAGCACTCTAAAAGAAATAAAAGGACAAAAGAACATATCAACATTTTGAAGTAAGGTTAGTAAATTTTAGACATTTCTCAACCTTCCTTGGATTTAATCTTGCATCTGCACACAGATGCCGTTCAAGTGCGCAGGATTGTGGCGCAGCTGGCTGAGTGTCTCCTGCATTAAGATCACTCTGACCAAAAGATCATGAGTTCGAAGCCAGCCCGGGTTGGAGTGGGTTTCCAACCAATTGTGTGTAGCCTGTTGTTGACCTTTGCAACCCGAAAGACAGCTGCATCTGTCAAGTAGGAAAATTAGGTACCACCTTAAAGTGTGGGGAGGCTAAATTAACTGATTTATGAGGCCATAAAGAAGACTCCAGCAAAGCATTCCAGCTGGGAAGCATGCGGGGAATGCGTAAGTGCTTCATCAGCGTCGCAGATGGACGATGAAAGCGACAGCTCCCCTGGCCAGAAAAAGTTAAATAGCCTCTGTGTATGTCTGTATATGTTTGTATGTCAAAAATTGGCATTGAATGTTTGCCATATATGTGTACACTGTAATCCGCCCTGAGTCCCCTGCGGGGTGAGAAGGGCGGAATATAAAAGCTGTAAATAAATAAATAAATAAATAAATAAATAAAATAATAAACTGCAACATCCAGCATCCCTCACTATTGGCTATGTTAGCTGAGCTGCTGGGATATAGAATCCAACTACAATCAGAGGCCACATACCGTAATTACCATTCCTGCATTAAAGTATTGTTTACATTATTGTTTACATTATACTGTTTTGTATTGTTTACATTATACTGTTTTGTATTGTCTGCATTATACTGTTTTATTTTTGTTGTTAGTTGCTTTTTTGGACAGAAAAGATGCATAGTGTAAATAAAGAATAAAATAAAATAGTACACGTTGCACATCTATTGCGTCCCACAAAGACCAAAAGTAGTTTTTAAAATCCCCATTATCAGTGGCAGGAAGCAATACCTACAAAGTAATACTCTTTGAAAAGTCGTGGCTTATCCCAAGCCTTAAATACATTTTTCCTAAGCTCCTATGATCTGTTAAAAGGATGCTAAAGGATTACCTCCTTAGAAAAATTAAAAAGTGCTGGTTTGCATTCTTCGGTAGAGTTTGAAACCTGTAAAAGACAAACATACAAGGATTGTGAGGGAGCTCACTGGCTGGATTCAATTCCCATAGGTTTAAAATGAATGAATGAACATAGAAAAAAGCACATCACAACCCACTTGTCTACATATGGCGGTTGAGGCAATGAAATCCTCAAAGGAATAATATGAAGCAGATTTCCCTTGGGTTTCCAGATGTAATTGAACTTCAGTTCCCAGAAGCCCCTGCCAGCATGGACAATGGGAAGAGATGTAATTGAACCTCATACCTCTGAGGATGCTTGCCATAGATGCAGGCGAAACGTCTGGAGAAATGGCTCTAGAACATGGCCCTATAGCCCGGAAAAACCCACAAGAACCTAATGGGAAGAGAATCTGGGAGCTACAGTCCCACCAAATCTGGAAACGCACAGATTTAGGAACCACCAAAATATGAGCAGGATTGCATCTACACTGTCGAATTAATGCAGTTTGACACCACTTTTAACTATCATGGCTCAACGTGATGGGATCCTGGGATTTGTAGTCTGATGAGCACCAGAGAAGGCAAAATTTGCTAACTCCCCAATTAATCAAGGTGGCCAATTGCAACATTCACATTGCCTCAAGCAGACAAGAGTTCTTTCTCCCACCCTGGACATTGCACAGATATATAAACATCACTTGCCTAATGTATTGTCGAATGGCCAGAATCACTGGGTTGTTGTAGGTTTTTTTCGGGCTATATGGCCATGGTCTAGAGGCATTCTCTCTTGATGTTTCACCTGCATCTATGGCAAGCATCCTCAGAGGTAGTGAGGTCTGTTGGACCTAGGAAAAAGGGTTTAAATATCTGTGGAATGACCAGGGTGGGACAAAGGACTCTTGTCTGCTGGAGCTAGGTGTGAATGTTTCTACTGAATACCTTGATTAGCATATAATAGCTAATTATATTATATGCTAATCAAGCCGTTGTATTAATCAGGCCATTATATGCTAATAAAGGTGGTCAGTTGAAACATTCACACCTAGCTCCAGCAGACAAGAATCCTCACCCTGGTCATTCCACAGATATATAAACCCTTTTTCCTAGTTCCAACAGACCTCACTACCTCTGAGGATGCTTGCCATAGATGCAGGCGAAACGTCAGGAGAGAATGCCTCTAGACCATGGCCATATCGCCCGAAAAAACCTACAACAACCCAATCACTTGCCTAGTTTCCAACAGACCTCACAACCTCTGAGGATGCCTGCCATGGATGTGGGAGAAACATCAGGAGATAATGCCTCTGGAACATGGCCATAGAGCCCGGAAAACTCAAAGCAACCCAACTCCCCAATTAGCTTCAACCCAAACTGTGCTGTTTCGAACCATCAAAGCCATCACGTTATCATACAATAATATGATTGTCAATGAATTCCATATATGTCTTTGATAAGCCTTCAACATATGAGTGTATCTGGAAGAAACTTACAGCGAAGTTGAGAGGCAAAGGGCACGGAATGGACCACTTCTTAATTATGATCTGCACAAAGAGAGAACAGAGTTGATATTTTGCAGGCTTTATCATCTCTATATGTGTGGGACCATGTGTTATATATATACCACACCCCACCAGCCCATAGCTATAAACTGTAGCGGGATTCAGAGAAATAATTGTTTGTCCAGACTGCATCTTCCTTGGAATTGCAGACTGCAAGAGAGAACTCGTCCAAGCTTTATTTCTGTTCCAAGAAGAATCCAGAACAAGGCTGGAAATTTTACTGGTCCCTTGGCATAAAGAAAAATATATACCACTATATATTATAATGGAATTACTGTGGATACTTGAATGTTTAAATTGTCAAACACAGGTCCTGAACCTTTATTAAAGGGCCCTCAAATGTTGATACCCTTCCCTTCTCTAAAGAAATATTTAAGTAACTAGCTGTACCTACCACGTGTTGCTGTGGCCAACCTTCCCTCCCTCTTTCTCTCTTTCTTTCTTTCTCTCCTTCCTTCCTTCCCTCTTTCCTTCCTTCCCTCTTTTTCTTTCTCTTCTTCTTTCTTACTTTTCTACCTGTTTCTTTTTTTGCTTCCTTTGCTCTTTTGTTTCATCCTTCCTTATCTCTTTCGTTCCTTCCCTCCCTCCCTGTTTCTCTCTTTCGTTCCTTCTGTCCTTCCTTCCCTCTTTCACTTTTTTATTTCCTTCTCTCCTTCCTTCTCTACCTTTTTTCTTTCCTTCTCTTCTTCCTTCCCTCTTTCCCTCTTTCTCTCCCCCCTTCTCTCCTTCATTCCTTCCTTTCCCCCTTTTCTGTGTTTTGTGTGTGCATATATGTGTGTATATATTTCTGTATATATTTGTGTATATGTGTATATATGTGTGTTGGTGTACATATGTGGTTTTGCGCATGCGTTGTAATGCATTTTTAATTTTTGGCTTTTTAAGTCTCTTCTGCTGTATTTTCTAGTGTTTTATGAGTGATGGTCACTCGTTCGCCTGATAGGTGTATTGTGTCCAAATTTTGTGTCAATTTGTCAAGTGGTTTTTGAGTTATGTTAATCCCACAAACGAACATTACATTTTTTATTTATATAGATGTATAGCAGAGCATGCATAGCAGAACAAACTTGCAATTGTACCCCAAATCTTATACTTCTCCAGAGGAAACCCCAGATGCTCCCATGTTGACAGGTGTTTTGATGAATCAAGTTGCCAAGATGAGAGAGCGTCATGCTCTATGAAGGAAGGAAGGAAGGAAGGAAGGAAGGAAGGAAGGAAGGAAGGAAGGAAGGAAGGACCGGGCTTTAGCACAGCAGGTTAACTGCCAGCTGCAGTAAATTTTGCCAACCAAAAGGTTGTCAGTGTGATGCCCAGGTCAGGATGAACTCCTGGCCTTTAGCCCAGCTTCTGCCTATCTAGCAGTTTTGAAAACAGCAATGTGAGTAGATAAAAAGGTACTGCTTAAGCAGGGAGGTATTTAAGCCACCCATAAGTAAATACCAGAAAATACCTGCGATTCAATCAAGGAGGAAGTTTACGAACAAAGCTCTTCGGCAGGGAAAGTGGAGCGACAGCACCCCCAGTGGCTGGAACTAAGCACAGCCTCCAAGATGCCAAAGATGGGAAAGCCTACATATATTTCTATCTGTGTACAGTTGTCTGTCTTGTCGGTGTATAACGACATTTAATGTTTGCTGTATATGTGTTCTGTTATCCACCCAGAGTCCCCTTTGGGGTGAGAAGAATGGAATATAAATACTGTAATCTGGAAGGCAGGCTGAACAAGACCAATGGGGAGAGTGGGATCAGGATGAAAGCTTTGCCCCACAAAAAGAATTCTGCCTGTTTAATGGGTTTTTTCTTCACTCCCTAAATTTCTAGGATTGTAGAAGGTAAGATGTGTTAACAGTGTAAATGTGTACAACTCTTTCTGGTGTTCACATCCGCTTTGTTGTTTTGCCTGCTCTGATTCTTTGGATGCGTAAACCATACAATCTGACTCCTGTATTTGCAGGAATGATACCATGGTTTCATCTATCCGCATCCATCAAAACATACCTCTCTAGGAATTTTCTAGGTTATGTAAGTGATTTCATGGCAAGCTTCTGTCAGAAGGGCCAACAGAGTTGAGTTGGAGAACCTAAAAAAATCCTAAATGCAATATTTCTCCAGGAATTTTCTAGGTCGTCCAGAGTGACACTATGATAACTTCTGCAGAAGTCAGTCATTAAATAGGAGTCACAGCTATTCATGGTTTTCTCTTTCCACTGTAAGTTCAGGATCATTTCCTCATGGATATTGGGGATGGGGCTCGTAATGCATTTCTAAACGCTCAATTATTTTACATTACTGCAGTGCTAGAAATTTGAGGACCAAAGAAAATGTTCAGTGGCTTCATTTTGCAGCCTCCATTATGACCAGAATATGAAAGAGTAATTTTTGGAGAGTGCAACTCAAATGTCCATGTGGGCTGGGCCTACTAAAGAGTTGTAGTCTAAAAGAGTAACTTTTCCAAATTCTGGTCATAATGACAGAAAATCAGAATTGAAGGAGTGCATCAACACTATAGAATAAATGCCGTATGATATCACTTTGATTACCATGGCTCAATGGTATAAGATTCTGGGAGTTGTAGTTGGGTGAGGTAGAAAAGACTAAAGACCCTGTAAAACTTCTATGATTCCAAATTACTGAGCCACTGCAGTGAAAATTGTGTCAAAGTGCATCAGTTCTAAAGTGTGGATGTACTCCCAGTCCAGAGAGAAAAAGAGACCTCAAAGGGACGGTATCTGCACAGAACCGGTGAGAAAGGAGATCTTTTGGAGCAGAGCCCAAGGTGTAAGTATCATAAATAGCAAATGAGGCAGGAAACACGTGCTTGGTCTGTGCCAGGAGAGAAAGGGCTGGAAGGAGGGCAGACTCCTGTGATCAAATGTTTTTTGATGCAGCATTCCCTGGGCACAGAAAAAAAAGCTTGAAAGTCAGATGGAAGAGTCCTAGGCTAGACTGCTTCCTGGCAGGCTATTTTGCTATGTGCAGGAATGTTTATTTTTAAGTTTATATAGGGCTGGGTGCAAGGGGGAGCCTTCTGTCTAGTGAGCCTTCAGCTGGTGTCTGAAATGGTGCAATCCTGACAGATTTACTATCTCGTCTGCTGTTTGAGAATTAGGACCCAGGAAATGTGCCTAAATTACCTAAAGTTTCTTTCTGATCTCAGTAAATAAGCAAGGCCAACCCTGCTTAGCAGTTGGGTGGGAAAGCACAACAAATCCCCAGGGCTGTAGGCTATGTTTTAGAGGAACGAACACCTCTGAGGATTCCCTAACCAAGAAAACTCTATGAAATTTGTAGGGTTGCTATTAGCCAAGAGGTAACCTACGGATGTGAGAGCTGGACCATAGGGAAGGCTGAGCGAAGGAAGAGAGATGCTTTTGAATTGTGGTGTTGGAGGAAAGTTCTGAGAGTGCCTTGGACTGCGAGAAGATCCAACCAGTCCATCCTCCAGGAAATAAAGCCCGACTGCTCATTGGAGGGAAGGATATTAGAGACAAAGTTGAAGTACTTTGGCCACATCATGAGGAGACAGCAAAGCCTAGAGAAGACAATTAGGCTGGGGAAAGTGGAAGGTAAAAGGAAGAGGGGCCGACCAAGGGCAAGATGGATGGATGGCATCCTTGAAGTGACTGGACTGACCTTGAAGGAGCTGGGGGTGGTGACGGCCGACAGGGAGCTCTGGCGTGGGCTGGTCCATGAGGTCACGAAGAGTCGGAGGCGACTGAACGAATGAACAACAACAAAAAACTTGAAGGCGCATATACACAGAGAGACAGACCCTCAGGGCACCAAACAGTACAAATAGTTTTCATTTGATTGATCGATTTGATTGATGTTTCCTGCTTTCTCCCAGTATGATACTTGATTGTCCAAGCGTGCATCTATAGCCTGAAGGTGCATTTGCACTGGAAAATGAATGCACTTTGACACCACTTTAACTGCCATGCTCAATGCTATGGAATCATGGGAGCTGCAGCTTAACAAGGTCTTTAACCTTCTCTGCCAAAGAGTGCTTTTCCTTCAACAAACCACAGCTCCCATGATTCTATCTAGCAATGAGCCATGCCAGTTAAAGTGGTGTCAAGCTGGAATGTGTCCAGAGGAGGGTGACTAAAATGATCAAGGGTCTGGAGAAAAAGCCTTATGAAGAGTGGCCTAAAGAGCTGGGCATGTTTAGCCTGCAGAAGAAAAGACTGAGAGGAATCTACAAGAAAGGAGATTCCATCTGAACATTAGGAAGAACTTCCTGACTGTGAGAGCTGTTCAGCAGTGGAACTCTCTGCCCCGGAGTGTGGTAGAGGCTCCTTCTTTGGAGGCTTTTAAACAGAGGCTGGATGGGAGTGCTTTGAATGCGATTTTCCTGCTTCTTGGCAGAAAGGGGTTGGACTGGATGGCCCATGAGGTCTCTTCCAACTCTATGATTCTATGATTCTATGACATGATGAGGGCCATGTATAAATATGTGAGGGGAAATCATGGGAAGGAAGGGGCAAGCTTATTTTTTTCTGCCCTGAAGACTAGGACGCAATGGAACAATGGCTTCAAACTAAAGGAAAGGAGATCCCACCTGAACATTAGGAAGGATTTCCTAACTCTGAGAGTTGTTCAGCAGTGGAACTCTCTGCCCCGGAGTGCAGTAGAGGCTCCTTCTTTGGAGGCTTTTAAACAGAGGCTGCATGGCCATCTCTTTGGGGGTGTTTTGAATGCAATTTTCCTGCTTTTTGGCAGAATGGGGTTGGACTGGATGGCCTATGAGGTCTCTTTCAACTCTATGATTCTGCATTCATTCTACAGTGCAGATGCACTCGTACTGAACATTCATCCTTATGGGCAAGGATCTGAACAGATGGTTTGTCCTAGAAACCAAGAATAGGAAATTATAGTACAAGTATTGCTTCCATATGCCTGGTGTAGGGCTTTCCTTCTGCTGGAACAGAATACAAGTGTATCTGCTTGTGATCGCAGGAAATGCTCTGCAAATGTTTCTC